TTTAGTTCTTCAAACGTGTTCAATTATCAAACGTAAGTTACCTGCATTTGATTGATTTCGCCAATATGAGTGCATGAGAAGCGAGGCAGTGCACCTCACGTCTTAGCGAGTTGCCCGGTCTTTCGTATATTCTTCTGTATGTGGCTCTAGGGTTTGGTGTTACATGTTATTTACGCAGTTTATTATTCTTGGTTCTTTCGGTAAAGTCACCACGTAGAATGGAAATAAAATAATAAAACGTAATTAAAAATTTTATTTTTTTATTTTATGTTGTTTTATCTTTGTGTAATTTTATTGTTTCCCTTCTACGTGGTGGTGACTTTAACGAAAGAACCAAGAATAATAATACCTGCAGTCACGAAAGCTTTAAATAAAAATAAAATTATTGTTTTAGATTTTTCTTATTTTATTGTTTCCCTTCTACGTGGTGGTGACTTTACCGAAAGAACCAAGAATAATAATTTTATTGTTTTATATTTTTCTTATTTTATTGTTTCCCTTCTACGTGGTGAGTTTACCGAAAGAACCAAGAATAATAATTTTATTGTTTTATATTTTTATTATTTTATTGTTTCCCTTCTACGTGGTGAGTTTACCGAAAGAACCAAGAATAATAATTTTATTGTTTTACAATATTTTTATTGTTTTATGTTTTAATTATTTTATTGTTTCCCTTCTACGTGGTGGTGCCTTTACCGAAAGAACCAAGAATAATAATTTTATTGTTTTATATTTTTCTAATTTTATTGTTTCCTTTCTACGTGGTGACTTTACCGAAAGAACCAAGAATAAGAATTTTATTGTTTTATATTTTTCTTATTTTATTGTTTCCCTTCTACGTGGTGGTGCCTTTACCGAAAGAACAAATAATGTGAATCCCTACAGTCACGAAAGATTTAAATGAAAAAATAATATTTTAAAAAATCTTTTTTATATTTTATTGTTTCCCTTCTACGTGGTGGTGACTTTACCGAAATAACCAAGAAGATGAATCATCCCTGCAGTCACGAAAGCTTTAAATAGAAAAATATGTAGTTTATTGTTAAAACTTCGGACACAATCCCTATGATCACTGTTACATTGCATTTATGGCTTCATTTTTTTGGTGATTTCGAAAACGTTTTTTCGGTTTGGCCATGTTTTTGTTTATTGTAGTACGGAGTTAGACTGATGGCCTTAATCTTAGCTGTCTTGTGGTTGTTGTTGTTGTTTGACTTGAATCCCACTGGGATTTTTTGCACACAGCGTTGGTGGTGTACGCGGTGCTATTTCAGGAATATTTTGATGTGTTTTTTTTTCCCCATGGATTTTCTGTTTTGCACAGTCACATATACCAAATAAATGAAACTATGAAAACAAATTACTGCTGATGCTGCTGATGATGATGCTGATACTGCTGCTGATGATGATGATGCTGATGATGGTGATGCTGATGATGACGCGGTCACGTGACGCTCACCTTCTCCCTCCCCGTTGAGGAGGCGTGGCCTCGAGAGGGCGGCGCTGAACGGGGCCAAATGAATGGAACTATCGAAAACTGGATGGAGCGTGGGAATTAGGCGCGTGCCCGTTACTATCTCTCTGCGTGTCACCAATGTAATGTTCGCAGACCCCTTCCTTGCATGCCCTCGCCTTCCATAGTCCGGGGTAACTTAGTTCACGTATTGTCTATAAAGATGTGTGTAGGCTCGCTGGTCTCGTCGTGAAACTGCAATGAAAAAGCACCAGGGGAGGCAGCTATCACATCTGCCTCACTGAGGGGGGGGGGGAGGGGCGTGTCTGGAACGCCCCCTCTCAGTGAGGCCACGCCCCCGCTGCCTCCCCAGCCACTGACGTCACCGCACGTCACTGGCTCCCACAGGGTGCAGTGTTAATCGCTGAGGCTCGCAGAGCCAGACTGAGGCTCCCACAGGGTTCAGTGTTAATCGCTGAGGCTCGCAGAGCCAGACTAAGGCTCCCATAGGGTTCAGTGTTAATCACTGAGGCTCACAGAGCCAGACTAAGACTCCCACAGGGTTCAGTGTTAATCACTGAGGCTCACAGAGCCAGACAAAGGCTCCCATAGGGTTCAGTGTTAATCACTGAGGCTCACAGAGCCAGACTAAGGCTCCCATAGGGTTCAATGTTAATCACTGAGACTCACAGAGCCAGACTAAGGCTCCCACAGGGTTCAGTGTTAATCGCTGAGGCTCGCAGAGCCAGAATAAGGCTCCCACAGGGTGCAGTGTTAATCGCTGAGGCTCACAGAGCCAGACTGAGGCTCCCATAGGGTTCAGTGTTAATCACTGAGGCTCACAGAGTCAGACTAAGGCTCCCATAGGGTTCAGTGTTAATCACTGAGACTCACAGAGCCAGACTGAGGCTCCCACAGGGTTCAGTGTTAATCGCTGAGGCTCACAGAGCCAGACTGAGGCTCCCATAGGGTTCAGTGTTAATCACTGAGGCTCAAAGAGCCAGACTAAGGCTCCCACAGGGCTCAGTGTTGAATCGCTGAGGCTCACAGAGCCAGACGAAAGCTTCCACAGGGTTCAGTGTTAATCACTGAGGCTCGCAGAGCCAGACTAAGGCTCCCACAGGGTTCGGTGTTAATCGCTGAGGCTCACATAGCCCGACTAAGGCTCCCACAGGGTTCGGAGTTAATCACTGAGGCTCACAGAGCCAGACTAAGGCTCCCACAGGGTTCGGTGTTAATCACTGAGGCTCACAGAGCCAGACTAAGGCTCCCATAGGGTTCAGGGTTAATCACTGAGGCTCACAGAGCTAGACTAAGGCTCCCGCAGGGTTCAATGTTAATCACTGAGGCTCACTGAGCCAGACTAAGGCTCCCACAGGGTTCAGTGTTAATCACTGAGGCTCACAGAGCCAGACTAAGGCTCTCACAGGGTTCAGTGTTAATCGCTGAGGCTCACAGAGCCAGACTAAGGCTCCCACAGGGTTCAGTGTTAATCGCTGAGGCTCACAGAGCCAGACTAAGACTCCCACAGGGTTCAGTGTTAATCACTGAGGCTCACAGAGCCAGACTAAGGCTCCCATAGGGTTCAGTGTTAATCACTGAGGCTCACATAGCCAGACTAAGGCTCCCATAGGGTTCAGTGTTAATCGCTGAGGCTCACAGAGCCAGACTAAGGCTCCCACAGGGTTCAGTGTTAATCACTGAGACTCACAGAGCCAGACTAAGACTCCCACAGGGTTCAGTGTTAATCACTGAGGCTCACAGAGACAGACTAAGGCTCCCATAGGGTTCAGTGTTGATCGCTGAGGCTCACAGAGCCAGACTAAGGCTCCCATAGTGTTCAGTGTTAATCACTGAGGCTCACAGAGCCAGACTAAGGCTCCCAGAGGGTTCAGTGTTAATCACTGAGACTCACAGAGCCAGACTTAAGCTCCCATAGGGTTCAGTGTTAATCACTGAGGCTCACAGAGCCAGAATAAGGCTCCCACAGGGTTCAATGTTAATCACTGAGACTCACAGAGCCAGACTAAGGCTCCCATAGGGTTCAGTGTTAATCGCTGAGGCTCACAGAGCCAGACTAAGGCTCCCACAGGGTTCAATGTTAATCGCTGAGGCTCACAGAGCCAGACTAAGGCTCCCATAGGGTTCAGTGTTAATCACTGAGGCTCACAGAGCCAGACTAAGGCTCCCATAGGGTTCAGTGTTAATCGCTGAGGCTCACAGAGCCAGACTAAGGCTCCCACAGGGTTCAGTGTTAATCACTGAGACTCACAGAGCCAGACTAAGACTCCCACAGGGTTCAGTGTTAATCACTGAGGCTCACAGAGACAGACTAAGGCTCCCATAGGGTTCAGTGTTGATCGCTGAGGCTCACAGAGCCAGACTAAGGCTCCCATAGTGTTCAGTGTTAATCACTGAGGCTCACAGAGCCAGACTAAGGCTCCCATAGGGTTCAGTGTTAATCACTGAGACTCACAGAGCCAGACTTAAGCTCCCATAGGGTTCAGTGTTAATCACTGAGGCTCACAGAGCCAGAATAAGGCTCCCACAGGGTTCAATGTTAATCACTGAGACTCACAGAGCCAGACTAAGGCTCCCATAGGGTTCAGTGTTAATCGCTGAGGCTCACAGAGCCAGACTAAGGCTCCCACAGGGTTCAATGTTAATCGCTGAGGCTCACAGAGCCAGACTAAGGCTCCCATAGGGTTCAGTGTTATTCTCTGAGACTCACAGAGCCAGACTAAGGCTTCCATAGGGTTCAGTGTTAATCACTGAGGCTCACAGAGCCAGACTAAGGCTCCCATAGGGTTCAGTGTTAATCACTGAGGCTCACAGAGCCAGACTAAGGCTCCCATAGGGTTCAGTGTTAATCGCTGAGGCTCACAGAGCCAGACTAAGGCTCCCATAGGGTTCAGTGTTAATCGCTGAGACTCACAGAGCCAGACTAAGGCTCCCATAGGGTTCAGTGTCAATCACTGAGGCTCACAGAGCCAGACTTAGGCTCCCATAGGAGTTTCTTCCCATCTGCTGCTGGCCTGTTAAACAAGGCCAAGGGCTAACACTGTTTTTAACATTTGATCTACATAACGACACGTTGCTGATATTAACTATGTTTCCCTATTTGTATTTTTTAATTATATCTTAAAGCTATTTTATATTCGATATTTATTTAATTTTATATACTTCAGCCCCTTAGTGTTAGACTTTTAACCCTTATTATAGTAAGACTTGTTTAAAACTTATTTAAGATTTTAGATTCCTATATGTTGAATGTATGCACCATCCTGCCAAAGTAAATTCCGTGTCGGTGTGAACTTACATGGCGAATAAAACCCTTTCTGATTCTGATTCAGTGTTAATCACTGAGGCTCACAGAGGGAGGGGGCGGGTTCGGAGTGGGAGGGGGCGTGGCGGTCGCCGGAGGGGGCGGGGTGCTGTTGGAGTGGGCGGGGGCGTGGCGGAAGTGGGGGCGGTCACCATCGGAGGAATCGATTATTTTTTTACCGACGCCGAATCCACCACCGAAATCGATCCGCCCCCCCCGCCCCCCACCACTCCAGTTTAAAGCCGCCGCTTGACGATGCCGCCGACAGAGACGATCCGGTAATCGATCCGGACGACAATGGCGGCGCCCACGTTAGCCAGCGGCGTTCGTGTTCCCGTCTGGGACAAGACCGCTCGCGTCTTCCTCTGCCTCCTCGGCGTCTTCTTTTCCCTGCTCGCCCTGCGCATCCCTCACGATGCCGCCGAGGAAGAGGGCGGCGGGAGGGCAGCGGCGGCGCGCTGTGCGTCCGTGGCGGAGTGCGGGGCGGAGACTAGGTAAGGTGGCAGGCTTTGATTTTGGGCCTAGTTGGTAGTGTGGGGGCGGTGGGTGGTTTGTAATTTTTACTTTTGTACGTTCTTGCTTCGCGTTCGTCGTTGTTGGCTCGTTGGGTCGGGCGCCTTTAGTTGCTCTCGTGGGGTTTGTTTGGCGGGCGTGCGTGTTTTATCTGTCGAGAAAAACGGGAGTGCGTGACGCGCAGAAGTAGCGTCCGATATCAATAGGCGTACGTGTTGAACATGCCTTATTCAAATTCTATGCCTATAATTTTAAATGTGCAATGTCATCGCCGTACTGGGTGTATTGGTTTATAAACTCGGCCCGTTGAACGATAAGAATCTAAATGCATTTGTGCATTCCGGTCCCCACTACCGTGGAAATAAAATGACTCGAATAAAATACATTAAGTGGGTGCCATACTGCGATGTGTATTAACGCGTGCCTTTTTATTTCGCTCATTTAATCTTTAACTCTGATCGCTGTCGACTCTTTGGGTTAGGCGCATTCAGTTATTGACCCGTGATTATTTTTTTCTTCCCAATCCCTGGGTGGTCCATCTGTCGAGAAATTGTCGTGTATGCGTGTGTGTGTGTGTGTGAATTAAGCTTAAATTGCGTCCTAGTATTAGCGTGGTAGTTAGGTGACACTTGTTACGGCCTTGTTCTAATTGTAATCTATATGGTACAATGTGTAATATATAATATACATGCTAGATTTATTATAAACTCGGGCGGTTGATAATACAGTGGCAATACCATCCATGCGTTTCTCTATGGCCACTTAAGGTAAGTGAATTACCATTGCGATACGCTCACAATGTATTATTTTTATTCGAGTCATTGTATCGTTAAGTCTGATCGCTGTCGACTCGTTGGGTTATGCGTCTTTGGTTATTGTCCCGTTATTTTTTTGGGGGGGGTGAGCGTGGGTGTACCATCCGTTGAGAAACCGTGTGTGGTGAATTAAGCTTAAATTGCGTCAAATATTAGCGTGGCAGTTACGTGTTGTTGTTGTTGTTGTGGTGGTTGTGGTTGTTGTTGGTTGCGCTTGTTATTGTGGTGGTGGTGGTGGTTGTTGGTGAGCGTTGGGAGCTTTGCATTGCGTGACGGCCAGCGGAAAGGGGGCCGTGGTGCAGACTTCATTCCACGTGCAGCCACGACACGGGCAAAGTGCAAAGATAGCTCCTGTCATGTGTGGTTTTTTTTATCTGTGTGTGTGTGTCTCTGTGTGTTGTTGACCTGGTCAAGGCCTATGATAAAATCAGTAGGCCTTGTTCTTCGTGCTTTCGGAGTCCCTGACCCTCTGCTCACGATCATGAAGGACCTTCATGATGGTGAGCAGAGAGGCCCGGGTAAAACTACGTGGCCGGGAGCCATTCCCTGTTCACCTTGGGGTACGACAGGGATGTCCTCTGGCTCCCATATTATTTAACATCTATTTTGGCCACGTAGTTCGTGAAGCCTTCAATAGCTGTACCGGAGGAATTTCCATCTGGTATAGATACAATGGGAGGTTGATCGATGCCTGGGTACGGTCAAGGGATGGCTCCCTATTGCTCAACCACATTATGTATGCTGATGATTTGGTGATAGCTGCTCACTCAGAGGAGGAGTTGGAGGCGCAGCTGCTGAACCTGGAGCATGCCACTAAGAGATGGGGCCTTACCATCAGCCCCACCAAAACTAAGCACCTGCCTGGGTATTTTGCACCATCGGACACTCCACACCCACAACTCCCAATCGGTGATGGGGCAGTTGTGGAGGGAGTGGAGAGATTCCCATACCTTGGCAGTGTGCTCATGACCGGCTCCGGTTTAACAGCAGAGGTCTCACTCCGAATCAGTCGAGCGGCAATATCTTTTCATCGGTTGCGTAACGCTGTGTGTAAGCTACCTGGTCTGTCGCTCCGCACTAAGCTTCAGGTCTTCTCGGTCACGGTCATTTCCTCCCTTCTCTACGCTTGCGAAACGTGGACCCCCCCCCTAATGGAACATCTTCGCCGGTTAGAAACATTTAAGCTGGCCTGCCTACGGATCCATCCTGGGTTTAACCCAGCTGGATTGTGTGAGGAGCTCAGAAATCCTTGAAAGATCTGGAGAAAGTCCCATCGGTGAGCTCCTCCAGCAGGCAAGGCTGCGTTGGCTGGGCATGCCTAAACAGCTTTTGTTCGGCCGGATCGAAGGGGCTAAACGGATGCGACACGGGCTAGAGAAGAGATGGAGTGACGTGGTACAGGAGGATGTGGAGCTGAGTGGACTTGCCGATGACCGGTACCAGCGGTGTCAAGATCGGCCTCTGTGGAGGAGGCTCGTGAAGGACGCTACTGGACAGTTGGAGGCAGTCGCTCTCCAACAACAATGGAGGGAGGAGGAGCGATGCTCACAACAACGAGCGGACCGCCGGGTGGCTTAATGCACAGGAAGTTGGCACAGTAGGGGGCACAGATGGTGCATCAGCCAGTCGTCTCGGTCAGTCGACCCTGTGGCATCTGGGTCTGCCCCGTGACCTCCTGCCAGCGGGCGTTCGACACTTCACGTGGCCTCAAGGTGCACATGGCCTGGCACAAGCGTCGTGGTGACGTCACCGCCACTGGGTGGCGAATGGCGGTTGTTGTTGTGTCTGTGTGTGTGTCTATCTATCTGTGTGCCTGTGCGTTTGACTGTGTATGTGCGGGCACGCCTGTGCGTGTGTCTGTGTGTGCGCGTTTGGCTGTGTCCGTGTGTGTGCCTGTGTGCGTGTGGGGAGCGGTTGCGTAGTGGTTAGCGCCCTGCGCCACAACCCAGTCCACCCAAGTTTCGAGTCCCCCTCGCGATCAACACCGCTCATCGCTATTATCTGAACCGGTCCCGGGCCTCCCCTAGGTCGACTCGGCTTCAAATGAGTGGGACACATCGCTAGCACTGGGGGGGGGGGTGCATGGAGAGACAAAGGCGGCCGGGTGTGTGAGTGGTGCTGGCCACCCACCCCCTCTGTTTGTGTGGCAAGTGGTGGCCTTCATAGACGCTGCTGCTACTACTGACAGCACTTGCCCCTGCAGCACTGTTAGAGGCTGCCTGGGGGAGCTTTGTCTTTGTGTGCCAACAGCAGGGGTCACATTCTGACCCCCTCTCTCCCTGCGGCCCCTGCCCCACTGATGATGATGCTGATACTGATGATGATGCTGATCCTACTGACGATGACGATCATGCTGATGACGATGATCATGCTGATGACGATGATCATGCTGATGACGATGATCATGCTGATGATACCGATGACCATGATTTTATTGATGACGCTGCTGCTGATATGATGCTGATGCTGATACTACTGATGATGAGGATAATGATGATGCTGCTGATGATGCTGATACTGCTGCTGATGATGCTGATACTGCTGCTGATGATACTGCTGATACTGCTGCTGATCCTACTGCTGATGCTGATCCTACTGGTGTAGGTGGAGGAGAGGCTGTGGCCTGGTGGAGCTGCTCTTGGGAGAGCGGCAAATCCTCACTCTGCCAAACAGCATCCTAGGCCTGCTGTTCTACCTGATGCAGTTACTACTGGGTACACTCACGCACGTACTCGCTCAGTACTCGCCCACTCGCTCGCGCGTACTCACTCACGTACTCGCCCACGTACTCGCCCACGTACTCACGCACTCACTCACCTACGCACTCGCCTACTCGCTCACGTACTTACTCACGCACTCACGCACTCACTTGCTCACGTACTCGCTCGCTCACGTACGTACTCACGCGCTCGTTCACGCACTCACTCACCTACTCATTCAAGCACTTAGACACTCGCATATGCACTCACGCACTCACTTACCTACTCGCGTACTTACGCACCCATGTACTCACGCACTCACTCATGCACTCACGCACTCACCTACTCGCTCACTCACTTACGCACTCGCTCACCTACTCCCTCACGCACTCGCACGCAGACACTCGCACGCAGACACTCCATCTCTTCTTCTTTGGTTCTTTCGGTAAAGTCACGTAGAATGAGAATAAAATAATAAATTGATGAAATAAAATAACACAACACAAGCGGCCTTCATCAGGTGAAGGGACGAGACTGTCTGGAGGACAGCGCTGGAGTGAAAAAGCCACGCTCAGATCTCAACTTTAGCAACACTGATAGCTACGGGCCCCGTTCAGACGGACGAGTTCATCCATGGTCGGAACATAGGAGGGGGAGAGAGACATCTCTCGAAATTTAACCGCCTCTACGGGGAGGGATTCCACACAACCTTAAGATCATTCAACAGACTCCGGGATAAGAAGGCTCAACTAATCGAGTCTCTCACCTTTCTGAAGAGATGCCGCGACTCTAAGCGCCTCGCAGCTGTCTCTCTCCCCCTCCTCTGTTCCGACCATGGATGAACTCGTCCGTCTGAACGGGGCCCGTAGCTATCCGTGGTGCTAAAGTTGAGGCTTAAAGGTCGCGGGAGGGAGAGAGAGGGAGGGAGAGAGAGGGAGGGAGAGAGAGGGAGGGAGAGAGGGGGAGAGGGAGAGAGGGGGAGAGGGAGAGAGGGGGAGAGGGAGAGAGGGAGAGAGGGGGAGAGGGAGAGAGGGGGGAGAGAGGGGGAGAGGGAGGGGGGGAGAGGGATGGGAGAGGGGGAAACTCCAATGTATACGGGGATCGAACGAGATGACCCCGCCACGACCTCGCCACCTGACCACCTGACCACCACGACCTCACCACCTGACCACCTGACCCCCACGACCTCACCACCTGACCACCTGACCACCTGACCACCTGACCCCCACGACCTCGCCACCTGACCACCTGACCACCTGACCACCTGACCACCACGACCTCACCACCTCACCACCTGACCACCTGACCACCTGACCACCTGACCACCTGACCACCACGACCTCACCACCTGACCACCTGACCCCCACGACCTCACCACCTGACCACCTGACCACCTGACCACCTGACCCCCACGACCTCGCCACCTGACCACCTGACCACCTGACCCCGCCACGACCTCACCACCTGACCCCTGCCCCGCCCCCCCCCCCCCAGGTCTGACGAGCAGTGCGACGGCGGCTGTTCTCCTCTTCGCGACGTCCATCGGCTCGGCGCTGGGCTCCGCCTACCTGGCGACGTCGCTGCTCCTCGCGGGTCTCCTGCGGGCCGTCTGCGGCGCCGTCTACGCCGTCAACCTCCTGCTGCTGGGCCTCAACTACAAGCGCCTCGTCTTCCTCAACGCCGCCTGGACCACGCAGCAGCAGCAGCAGCAGCGGCGGGAGGGGGAGGAGGAGGAGGAGGAGGGGGAGGAGCCGCGGCGGGCGGAGGGGGAGGAGCAACGGCAGCGGCATTGCAAGAGTCTCTAGCGCGCGGGAGGGGACTCTGGCGCGTGGGAGGAGTGGGGGGGAGGAGCCGCGGCGGGAGGGGGGAGGAGCCGCGGCAGGAGGGGGGAGGAGCCGCGGCGTGCAGAGGAGGAGGAACGGCAGCGGCATTGCAAGAGTCTCTAGCGCGCGGGAGGGGACTCTGGCGCGTGGGAGGAGTGGGGGGGAGGAGCCGCGGCGGGAGGGGGGAGGAGCCGCGGTGGGAGGAGGAGCCGCAGCGGGAGGGGGGGGGAGGAGCCGCGGCGTGCAGAGGAGGAGCAACGGCAGCGGCATTGCAAGAGTCTCTGGCGCGCGGGAGGGGACTCTGGCGCGTGGGAGGAGGGGGGAGGAGCTACGGCGGGAGGGGGGAGGAGCCGCGGGGGGAGGGGGGGGAGGAGCTGCGGGGGGAGGAGCCGCGGCGGGAGGGGGGAGGAGCCGCGGCGTGCAGAGGAGGAGGAACGGCAGCGGCATTGCAGGAGTCTCTGGCGCACGGGAGGGACTCTGGCGGGGTGGGGGAGGGGAGAGAAGCGCGTTTAATGGGGGGGGGGCGGGGGACGGGTGGGGGGGCGGGGGGGGGGCGGGGTGGGGATGGTTGTACGCGTGCACTGTACACGCGCGCACTGTACACACACCGTACATGCGCGGGTTGGACGTACACACACCGGCTGTAACACACACGCACACACGCTGTAACACACACACACACGGCTGTAACACACACACACCCGGCTGTAACACACACACACACCGGCTGTAACACACACACACCGGCTGTAACACACACACACACACCGGCTGTAACACACACACACAGGCTGTAACACACACAGGCTGTAACACACACACACACCGGCTGTAACACACACACGCACACCGGCTGTAACACACACACGCACACCGGCTGTAACACACACACACGCACACCGGCTGTAACACACACACACACGCACACCGGCTGTAACACACACACACACACGCACACCGGCTGTAACACACACGCACACCGGCTGTAACACACGTACATACACACTGGCTGTAACACATACACTGGCTGTAACACACACACCGGCTGTAACACACACACACCGGCTGTAACAACAACAACAACTGCCATTCGCCACTAAGTGGCGGTGACGTCACCACGACGCTTGTGCCAGGCTATGTGCACCCTGAGGCCACGTGAAGTGTCGAACGCCCGCTGGCAGGAGGTCACGGGGCAGACCCAGGTGCCACGGGTCGACTGACTGAGATGACTGGCTGATGCACCACCTGTGCCCCCTACTGTGCCAACCTGCTGTGCTTTAGCCACCCGGCGCTCCGCTCGTTCTGAGCGTCGCTCCTCCGCCCTCCGTTGTTGTTGGAGGGCGACTACCTCCAACTGCCCAGTAGCATCCTTCACGAGCCTCCTCCACAGAGGCCGATCTTGACACCGCTGGTAACAGTCATCGGCAAGTCCACTCAGCTCCACGTCCTCCTGTACCACATCACTCCATCCCTTCTCTAGCCCGTGCCGCGCCCGCTCAGCCCCCTCAATCCGGCCGAACAAAAGCTGTTTCGGCATGCGGTGGCTGGGCATGCGGGCTACATGACCCAGCCATCGCAGCCTTGCCCGCCGGAGGAGCTCACCGATGGGACCATGCCCAGACCTTTCAAGGATTTGTGAGCTCCTCACACAATCCAGTCTGGTTAAACCCAGGATGGATCGTAGGCAGGCCAGCCTAAATGTTTCTAACCGGCGAAGATGGTCCATTAGGGGGGTCCACGTTTCGCAAGCGTAGAGAAGGGAGGGAATGACCGTGGCCGAGAAGACCTGAAGCTTAGTGCGGAGCAACAGACCAGGTAGCTTCCACACAGCGTTACGCAACCGATGAAAAGATATTGCCGCTCGACTGATTCGGAGTGAGACCTCTGCTGTTAAACTGGAGCCAGTCATAAGCACACTACCAAGGTATGGGAATCTCTCCACAACTGCCCCATCACCGATTGGGAGTTGTGGGGGTGGAGTGTCCGATGGTACAAAATACCCAGGCAGGTGCTTAGTTTTGGTGGGGCTGATGGTAAGGCCCCACCTCTTACTGGCACGCTCCAGTCTCAGCAGCAGCATCTCCAACTCCTCCTCTGACTGAGCAGCTATTACCAAATCATCAGCATACATAACCTGGTTGAGCAATAGGGAGCCATCCCTTGACCGCACCCGGGCATTGATTAGCCTCCCATATTATCTGTACCATGTGGAGATTCCCCCGGTACAGCTATTGAAGGCTTCACGAACTACGTGGTCAACATAGCTGTTAAATAATGTGGGAGCCAGAGGACATCCCTGTCGCACCCCAAGGTGTAGAGGGAATGGCTCTGCCTCCCGGCCACGTAGTTTTACCCGGGCCTGCTCACCATTATGAAGGTCCTTAATGATCCTGAGCAGAGGGTCAGGTACTCCAAAAGCACGAAGAACGACCCAGAGCCCAGGCCTACTGATGGTATCATAGGCCTTGACCAGGTCAATAAAGCAGAGATGTAGGTCTTGTTGGAATTCCCTACACCTCTGCTGTAGCAGACGGACAGAAAATATGGCATCTGTGCAGGACCGCCCTTTCCTGAAACCGCAGTGGGGCTCCGCAAGCCTCTCCTCAGCGTGCCTGGCAAGGCGATGCTGAATAATCCTTGCCAGGACCTTTCCCGGCACAGTGAGGAGTGAGCTGCCCCTGTAGTTGTTAGTCTGTGCGGTCCCCCTTCTTAAAAAGAGGGACCACCAGGGCATCCTTCCAATCCTGCGGAACCCGTCCAGTAGTCCAGACTGTTGTTATGATGTCATATAGGGCAGTCTGTGCACAAACGCCACCCTCCCTCAGCATTTCGCTTGGGAGATCCATCTCTGCCCGCTGCCTTTCCTGGTCTCAGACTCCGGATCGCCTTCAGTACTTCCTCAGCAGATGGCACCTCAAGCCAGCCACTCACAGGGGGTGAGTCTTCCAATATTTGAGGCACCTGCAGCCTCAGCAGGGTCATCCTCACTTTGTGCCACGATCTTTTCCTGGCTGAGGGATTTTCCCTCCCCCAGGACCTCACAGAAATGCTCAGCAAATCTGCAAACGTGTTCCTGGGGGTTGGAGATTGGATCACCGTTTTTTTCCCCTAATGATGGTAATAGGTGTGGCGCTGCAGGTTACTTTTTTGGAGTTAAGCAGAGATTTGTGATCACGGGCCACTGAGGCAGACTCCATCTCCTCAGCAACCCGCGACCACCACCCATCCTTGCAGTGCCTCACGGCTCTCCGAACCTCCGAGCGAAGGCTGCGGTAAGCCTCCTCATTCTCTGACGTGGGTTTCTGTAGCCGATGACAGTGGGCCTGTCGCTTTTTCTCAACCATCCTGAACACCTCTGTCAGCCAGGGTCTCTGGGGAGGTCTGGACCGCGTACCTAAAGCAGCCATTGCAGCTACATGAGTCAGTCCTAAACCTCGCCTATTTACCCTCGACATCAGGAGGAGTCGGGGACGATGCCAATCCCAGCCGCAGGCGATGATGAAATTCTCGCTTGCAACTTTCATCAGATAACTGAGACCAGGCCACTTTAGGTCGGAATGGGGTCCTGGGTGTACACCCACCACCGGAGTGGAAGAATGGCAGGCGCATCTTACAGATGACTAGTCGATGGTCAGAGGGCAGATCAGCTCCACGGTAGGTTCTGGTGTCAAGGACATGGGCTCGCATTCGCTGGTCCAGCACTATGTAGTCCAGCAGATGTTCTTGCTTGGACCCGGCATGCATCCATGATGTGTGGATGCGCCGATGCTGAAACAGCGTGTTGGTGATTACAAGCCCATGGGCTGCACAAAAACCTAGCAGCCTCCTACCGTTGTTATTGAGCTGATCTGGCCCATGCCCTCCAATCACTCCAGACCAGGTGCCAGTATCATGACCAACTCGGGCATTGAAGTCACCCAACATGATGACTCTATCCCGAGGGGCCACTTTAGCCAGCACCTGTGACAGGAGGTCATAGAAGGCATCTGACTCATCGGCTTTGCCTGCATCCCTCCACGGATGTTCCATCTTCGGTGGGGGCATAAGTAACCACGACCACCATTCCTCGCCTCAGGTTGATGGGAAGGCGAGCCCAAAGTAGCCTGGGGCTTACAGCTTCCCACACCTCACCGCCACGCTCCCACGCCCCCTTCATTCTTTTGTTCAAAAGAAGACCCACACCTTGTTGTTTGGCAGTCTGCTGCCCCGAGTAGAGAACTGTCCACCCCTCATTGTGGCAGGAGCCAGAGCCGGTTCACCGGACCTCCTGAATGCCGCATAGATCCAGGCGGTACCGGTCCAGCTCCCGACAGAGGAGTGGCAGCCTCTCCTCTGCAGTGAGCGTTCGAACATTCCACGTGGCCACCCGTAGTGGCTTTTTGTTGTTTCTGGAGTAGCCCCGAGGGTAGGTATTCAATCTCCTGGCTCCGCCAAATGGGGTTTGACCAGGAGACGTCATAGACACCTGGCCCCCCGGGGCCTCCGGCACAAGCTTATTAGTTACATATTTCAGTTTAACTCGTGGTTTCGTGGTAATTAATTGAAGGTGACGGGGTTACCAGCCCCTCGCACCCATCCAGAGCCCCCGTTTAGCCCCTGTGGTGGACACACATGCCATGAGGGGAGGAGCCAATCAAAATTGGATCTCCCCTCACAGCACTCCACGACAGAGTTGCTCGTCCGGCACCGCGAGGAGGTAGGGTGTTTTGCTGGACCCGGCTGTAACACACACACGCACACACACACACTGGCTGTAACACACACACACTGGCTGTAACACACACCGGCTGTAACACACACTGGCTGTAACACACACACCGGCTGTAACACACGGCTGTAACACACACACACCGGCTGTAACACACACCGGCTGTAACACACACACACGGCTGTAACACACACACACGGCTGTAACACACACACGGCTGTAACACACACGGCTGTAACACACACACACGGCTGTAACACACACACACGGCTGTAACACACACACACGGCTGTAACACGCACACCGGCTGTAACAC